GGCAGACACAAAGAGACAGAAAGGAGGAGGTGAGGTTCTTCGGGCTTTCTAGCATAGTTAACCCTTCACCCTTTTGAAGGGAAGACAGGAGAATGTAAGGAATTTGCCCACATACATGTACATAACACACTCACACACACCTCTGAGGAGTCTGCAGGAGTTATGAGTCTCCAGGAAATTCTTTGTAGCCCACTGAGAGTGTCATGTCTGCAGTGATGTGGTTAGTTAAACTTCAACACAGCTAATGTTGGACACTCACACCTCTTGATGTTTGCTCTGGAAGGTTTGAGTCTGGTCATATTAATGAAGGCAATACTGGCACTGATGCAAGCTTACAATGAAACAGTGATGATCGTGTCAGGGAAAGGAACATGTCACACACAATTACATGTATCTTCTCACGAAACTCCATTTGAAAATAGTGAATCTGTAAAATTAAAGTATTATATATGAAATCCAAGCTGTTTTTAGCTTTGATAAAGCTTTAATTGTAATTAACTTCAGTACCTAACAATAGCACAGAGTGCAGTGGTCAAAAAAATACTTTGTGTTAATGAAATACATTTCAGCGATGAATATGATACAAGTCCAGTATTTTTGCCCCTCTGCTGTTCATCCATCACCTCTCCTCATTGTTTTTGTCTCTAATTATTCCTCAGACCTCCCATCCTCTCTTACATTCCCCTTCTTTCAACACATTTTGTTCTTCCTTGTCTCACTGCCAAAGTGAAAAAGCCCCCTTGTCTGTCCACCGGTCTCTGCTTTCTTTGCTCTTTTGATTTCTTCTTCGTGCTCTGCAAACACAGGTGCATGCCAACACACACGCACACAAGGAGGAAGTATCTCTGCATTTTCCCCCTGTCAAACAATAACAGTGTGGAACTCTGGGTATTATTTTAGTAGCCGTCCACCACTTTATCTGCTCTCCACAATGCTTCCTCTCTCACTGACTCACACATCCTGTCTGGGAGGGGGCGAGAGAGGCAGGGAAAGAATGAGAGAGGGAGAGGGGTGCGAGAGAGAGAGATGCAGAGCGCAGGAGGGAGAAACAGCCATGTTTTGTCTTCCATTTAGAGGAGCAGGGGAGAGAGGAAAAGGAGGGAGAGAGGATATGAGGATCATTGGTTGGTTTTTCTTGCTTGGTCAGAATGTGCCAGCTATTTCAGGTGGACGTCAGCGCTTGACCTGGACTACACTTTCGCCAAGTCCCGCACTTTATGGACACAACCCTGGCCTCAGTCGTCTTGAGGACAAAAGAAAAGAGTTGTGACATTTTCACGAGGTGGTGATTCTTCTCAGAAAAGTCGCAAGGGAGATTTAAAGAAGTTGTGTTGTCTGAGCATGTTTGAAGGCTCACCTTTGGATCTCGGGGATGCTGGGAGCTGACCTGGAGTCAGTTTGACAGCAGATGCTTCAGCTTGTGAAGTCTGGTAGGTCTGAAAGTTTCTCCTGTATTGACGTCTTTGTTGATGTCACAGATCAGTATAGGATTGTTAACATAAAACTCGTCTACTCAATTTACAGGACTTTCTTTTCTCATCTATATTTGAGGGAAAATATGGAGTTTGCATCTTCGTTGTTTGGCTCCTTGTGGAAACAACGGTATCCGCTGACCACATGGTGCACGCTTTCACCAACACTGATACACAAAACTAGTGAAGCTTGTCATTTTTATTTTCAATCATTTAACAATCTCTGGTCAATTTTGAGTCCTTCGTCCTCTCTCAAAATCATATACTGCACCAGTTTCATATCTGTCCAGATGTGTAGAGTCCCAGTCTATGTGTCTGACACCTGTCTGGCATTTGTTCCGTGCTCTACCTAGACTGTGTGTGTGACTCAGATTATGCGTGCTGGCTTTTGTGATATCAGTCAGCTGTTACAGTTTCTGACTTTTCTGAATTGAGTGGGACATTCCAGCAGGTCTCATTGAGGCCTGTTCAGAGCTGCGTGACATAGATTTCATAATTTCTTGGTCTTTGATTGCCGTCAAGTCTCATGAGATTTACTACCATCACAGTAACATCACACCAGTGGCTGATTCGGTCATTATCACGTCAACAATACACTATTATCTCTTGTATGCCTGCAAATTTTTCAAAAAACATATTTGCTTTGATCTCTCTCTGCGTGCTGTTGCCAGCTGGGACAAGTGAACAGTTGACAGTGGCCTTGGTAGGTGCTACTTTAGTCACTGAGGCCAAGAAGGAAGGTTTTGGCCAGTGCTTTGTGTGTTCCCTGTGTCCCGTTAATGAAAAGAACACAGACTTTATGGAGCTGAGGCTGAATGCAGCCCTTACAAAAAGCATTTAACGCTTTGGTCTCCAAGAAATAAACAGATTTTCGTGCTTAAGTTCTTGAGATAACTACAATATTCTCTGTTACACTCTAACTTGACCTACCAGTGATACAACCGCTCCCTTTTCAGCACAGTGCGAGTTCATGCCTGCACTTGAGGTTGAGTCAAAGTGGTGCAGCGGAGGAACGGTCTCTGTTACATCTTTCTTCTTAGACAGCATCCCTGATATTGAGCTGTTCACCTCCAAATTAATGCAGTCCACTAAGACTAATGCATGTTTTTGGTTGTTTGTAGGTTAAAAGGCGTCTGGATTAATACCAAACTAGGTTTTGACCTGTTAGTCGGACAAAAGCCACATAAACATATCACCTTGGGACCTCTTGAGAACTTGTGGTGTCTTTTTCCATTCTTTCTTTATTTTATTTAACATTTCATAGACTAGGCTGTTAATTGATAAATCATAAAGATAATGTTAAGCAATACAATAAATCTTAGTTGGAGCTGTAGACTTTGATGTGAGTTTTTACACCCTGTTCTTGAAGAATCTGTTTTTTTTACTGTTCCCTTGACAAACGTGATCACATACATGCACAAATCCAACTTTCCTTTTTTCAGATAGTGATCACATACATGCACAAATCCAACTGTTTCCTTTTTTCAATTAAAAACAACAAGCTTAAATGTTAGTGAACCACTAAAATGAACAGAGTAGTTTGTGAAAAGGTAAAAAGTGCTTATTCATAGAGAGGATGTCAGTGTTTTCCACTTTGATAAATCACATTTTCATCATACTTCTTTATTACATTCTGAGCTTGTCAGTGTTTTGCATTTTCCTTTCCTTTATCTCGGATTCTGTTTCAATCTGGCTTTGTCATCAAAACCTTTTCACAGCCATCAATCTCTAGTGGTATTTTGACTGGTTGAGTTTGGATAGTTCCCACACACTTTCATGCACACACACACACACATAGGGGCATAGATGCACATGCGCTGGCTCTACATAAACTTTCTCAGAGTATAATTTAAGGACATTGTCAGCACAGTTGAACAATCACTGGGCTCAGATAGAAATCCTTCTTAAGGAGCCAGTACCAGGAAACAAGAGTGTTGATTTTGGAAATGGTTCTCTTGCTCTTGCTTTATCATAAACAATAATAATCAGAAATGGTCCTTTCCTTTCCCCTCACCATGCCAGGATCCACATTCCACTTCCAAAGTTGTACCTCCAAGTGTTTTGGTCTGAAAAACCCAGAGTTGGCTCATTTTACATTGTTGTACTTTCAGTTTTAGGAGCTTAAAGAATAAAGCCACCCATTTCCTCTATTAACAGTATTTTCAACACTCCCCATACAGAGACAAAACCCAACAATTTAATGCTTCTACTCGTGGTTAATATCTGTCAGTCCTGGATTAGCTTAATCGTCTGTGCCATAGACCTTTGTTGTTGTTCAAAACCAGTTAAAAACACACTGCAGCACTGGGTGATACGTTCTGTTCTTTCAAGACAAGTTCATGTCAAGTACAAATCTTTTTGTTTCAAGCTCAAGTCAACAGCTATGGCAGTTTTCATGGTCTGTATGAAACCATTTCCATCCAGCAAATGTATTCCCAACGGCATGTCTGAAAGATAGGATTACCCACACAAAGGTCAGTTCAGACTCCAAGACACATAAATTTATAGTGGGCTGTTGTTTCTCTCTTTATGTTCTTGTTTCTAGCGTGTTTTTTATTTTTTCCTGGCTCTCAAACACTCTGTCTCCTTGTCTGTCTTGCACACACACACACACACACTATCTGCAGGGGGTTGAGTTGAATCTGGCTAGCATATGGGATTGGAAAGTCCGTATAAGAGAATTAGTGAATATTGGGGGATACGCTGGAATGTCTGGCTTCAGATCAAACCGGAGAACTTATTGTACATGTTGAGTTTTTAATGGCAGTCCAAACTCGAAACAACATGTTAGGAAGCTGTTTGGGTTGGCAGCGTACTGCTACAGAAAGTTTTATGTCAACCCTGAGCAAATCATCATATTAAAAACTAATTGCTGTAATTAAACGCAGTGCAGCCATATTCATGAGTATATCCGGGTTAATGACCCCGGAATAACAAACACTACAGATGTAATAAAGATTAAGTTATCCAAGTCACCTCACAGTGTGCTCAGAAGCACGTTTGGACACTTTACAAACAAAACGTAAAGCCCATGCAACAACATCAGCAGCAACTTTCACACACATGTTCACATTCCTTCAGCTTGAATACTATCTGAAATGAATAGCTAAACAGCTTGTGGGTTTATTTTGAGTTTTTAGGAACAGATTTTGTAACATACGATAATTTGGATTAAAGACAGCACAGTCTGATTTCACTCTGTCAGTCAAAAGTTCACTTTTTACAACACTCTGCTAATTTAAACAAAGGTCTAGTGGAAAGAACAGTTTGTAGTAATTACATGCTATGCCCCGCTTGTACACCCCCTGAAGAGCATTTTAGCAAGTTGGGAGTGTAAACAGTCGTCACAAGACGTTTACAGTTTAATGTATTATAGCAGGAGGTGTAAAGGGCCTTTGGTCAGTTTGTTTTAAACTGAGCTTGAAAGGTGAATTTCCGCTGAATGATGTGTGAGCAGCTCCGTATCCACCACGCTGTTTCTCTGCTGGCGTTGATTCTCACCTGCGTTTCTTCCTGTCGTCTCCACAGGCGCAGCGTTCCTCTCATCAGGCCTCACTCCTGGCACCTGGCAAAGCTATCGGAGCCGCCCTTCCCTCCCCCTCCCCCTCCTCCGGACTCCCCTCCTCTCCCCCCTCCTCCGCCTCAGCCTGCCATGCAGCTCCACCCCGGCCCCTACACATTACCCTGGCACACAACCGACAACAGGTGAGATGACATCACTTCTTTCATCGAGTTATTAGGCCAATTTCAGCTTTAGCAACCCTTGTGTCAATTATGTGGGCAATTTACAAGTGAAAGCCAAAAAAAAAAATTCAGTTTGCCCTCATACAAATTAAACGTAACCAAAAACATTCTCACAACTGTCTAAAAGTAGGAAATGTTTGGCATTGCTGCTTGAGAAATTTATCCTGAGCAAATAGTTTCAGTATGATCATGTTGCATTTTTCTATTACTGTCATAGAATTAGGACAAAAGAATGATGCATCCAGTCAGGTTAAATTAAAAGGAGCCTTGTAGGTACAGTAGCCTTTGTTTTAGTATGAGCTCACAAACTGTAATCGTTTAGAGGGAAATTTTTTTGTGTATATTGACTCACAATAAAAATAGCCATTTCCATCTGTTTATCAGCCTCATGGTACGTCAGTAGCTTTGGATAAGAATCGGTGATACAATCTACCACTATTAGATTTAATAGTAGCATGTGGATTAAACAGCAGTGTGTCTGTGTGTGGGTCTATTATTCCCTGCCTGATCTCATCATACACAAACACACACATACAATAAACCATCTGATGAGGAGGCAGCTCCCGGCATAACTCTGGACAGTGGCATGTGACTCCCAGAACATGTGGACAAAGAGAGGAAGACATTCAAAAGGCTGTGTTTGTATGAAGGCCAGAGACATTTTGTGTAGTATCTGTGTGTGTGATTGTTTCTACTCGACGCAAGTGTGTGTGTGTGTGTGTGTGTGTGTGTTTATGTAAGCAGTAGGACAAAACATGAGTTTTCAGTTTCACCCTTACTCACACAGCAACTATCAGCTGACAAAATGTGTTTATATTCATTTTCACACTGAGAATTAATCCAGTCAGTCTGAGCGAACATCATCACTCATGCTCACATGTTCCACATTGCCATCTGATTGCGCAGGAGTGACTAGTGTTTCCCGTCCCTCTCCCGTCTCATTTCCTCTCTGCTTCTTTGCGTCACCCGGGTCAAATGTGTACAGCAGCGCCTTCTTTCTCATTCATGGCTCGCTTCCTTTGCAGATGATTTTCTCAGGCCAATAGTGAAACATTTCCCACTAGTCAGAATATAATCTGTCTCTTTTATGAGTAGTATCCTAGTACCATTCCAGTATTTTTGCAGGTTTTTAAGAACATTTTCAAATGAATGCTGAACAACTACAGTGACGTTTTTAATGTATTTGGCCTACCATTCACTGAACACCATTCATTTCTTCATGCCAAGAACTGCTTAGCCTTAGATAATTAGCCTGTGATCATTTCAACAAATGAAACCTACAGTATTTAGGAATATACCTTTAGAATAATGTAAACTATAATAACAATGATCTTAAAACTGCCTTTTGAGACAGATCTCCTTAATTCTGTCAGGGTTTAAGGTTCAGTTAACTGTATATGAACTGCTGAAGATGGCAATGTGACTTGCTTGAAGGTTCTCTCATTACATTTAGTTGCATTTAATTACAACTGGTGATTTATATGTGTATATATTTTAGGTGATTTAGCTTCAGGATGGGCAAAGGCCAAAAATAACAAACAAAGATCTAACTAACAAACAAAAAGGAGATATTAGCTAACCAGACAAAGAAACAACAACAATTTACCTCCCTGCCTAAAAGAAACAAGAGAAATCAATTACAAAAAAAGGCTGCCCCTCCACACACACACCCATGAATATGCACTCCTTAATTCCACATTGGAGGACAAGATCTGAAGCGTTCGCTCCTGGCCAGCTGTCTTCCTCCTTCAGATGTCCTCCAGATGGCCAATTGGTGATAAGTGAGCACAGGTGGAACCAATCCTTGGCGCGCAACGATCCCCACCTATTTACATACACCCTCATCCAGCCAGCAGTCATCTCTCACACATTCACACCAAGGGAGAAACACCATATGCAACCAGACAGAGCAAACGTACAACACAACAATCGTAACAACCTGTATAATTCTTTAAACGCATCACACTTACCACTGGTCAGTAGACCTGAAGAAGCTTGTCAGATGAGAGGTGAAACATCTTAAAGAACATCAAGCATGTCCAGTTGCCAGCTTTAGTGCTTCCTGGATCAATGAGAATCTCCACAGATAATTGGCTAATTGATTCTATAATATTGTACTGAAATGATTGGAAACCAATGACTGCCAAACAAGCATCGATTCCAAAATAAGTGTTATATAAAGTATATATGATTTGTAATAAGTGGGCTAAAACATGCTCCCTCCTATAGAGAATTTTGTAGGTTTTATTTATTTTGAGCCCAGTGGGAAGAGCATGAAAAAGCAAATGACTTACACAAATTCTGCAGACTGACAAGACATCATTAGATGTATTTGCATAAGAGTAAGTGGTGGTAATATGCTTTAGAAGAGAAACAAAACCGAATGGTTTTTAGATCTTCTCCATAAACTGTAACCCATACATACCACAGGAAGAGCCTGGAGATAGTCTGCTGGTTGCTTCCCCATATTGGTTTGAGATCAAAGCCCTTTAGAAATGCATCTTGCCGGCAAACCCCTCCTGTGTCTCCTTGGCTGCTTTCCCTGTTTTGAACGAGACACAAATGAAATACAAAGGGTGAGTGACCACTCCTTCCTCTTTATAGGAAAAAAGAAATACCACAATAAAATGTCTGCAGATTTTTTGTTAGGGACCACAGGTTAGATTTAGACTAAGCATAAGAACATCAGGTGATCCTTCCCCTCCAGAGCTGATATCGATAGCCAGTATGTGTAAAATGTGTTTGTCTCTCCAGATTCCCCAAGCTCTCATTTTACTGAAAAGAACTCCTGCCATTTTGTCTTATGTGGTTTCTGCAAGAAGTTGGGATTGTTGGGAAATGCTTTTTATTATTACATGTCTGCCATCTGTTGCTCTTGTTTAGTTTTCTTTTTTTTCATGTTTTGCGGTTTTAGCGGAGTTTGCTGTTCTCTGAATCAAGATCAAAATGGTAGTACAGGGTGGTGTACAGTATGCATATACATACAGATTGTTAAGACCTCTGATTTGTGATTTGTGTTTATTGGCTATATGGATTAAATAGACTTAACATCGCTTGAGAACTACTGTATTTTCCTAGTACTTGTTATGACTGAGTAAAAATATGAGTGGGCTTTTCTGTAAACATCCTGTCATTTAATCGCTGCAAAGCTTAACTGACCTATCCAGGAAAAGGAAACATATTTGTTTCCATTTTATGCTGTGTCAATCAACTGTTTCACAAAATGATGTTATCATTAAATCAATGTAAAGGAGAAAGGACAGGAGGAGTCCACAAGAGGAAGAATGGAATGAAATATGAAGAAGGAAGAGGATGAGAGGAATCAAGGGATGATTTAGAGATTTTGACTCCTGGCATTCAGTTGATGAGGAGGAAATCCTTCATTGCCCAAAGAGGCTTCCTCTGAGGGGCTTTAAAAACACATGGGGCTGCTTGGGATCCTCGTCTTAGCCCTGATAGAAAACAGATTCCCCAGCTCTCCATTTCAAACATTGTATTGCAGAACAATATACTGTATATGTCTAAGAAGCAAATCACAGCTTGCCACTTGGAAATTAAAGATAGCTTTTTGTATTTAGTTTCTAAAAGTGTTAACCGTTTTGTCAGTCAAAGAATAAAATCCTACAGCTCAGAAATAAAGCACAGGAGTTTAGCTTTGGGGGCATTAAACTTTGATTAAATGGCATCCTTTTTTAAAGTCTTTTCTAAAGTTTTGTAAGAACAGTTTGGACTTTTCAGTTATTAGGTAAAATGTCAGAGAAAAATGACAAATGCCCATTACAGGTTCCCAGCGATCATAGTGCCGTTAGTTTATTTATTTTAATTAAAGAACTGTCCCCCAAAGGCATAGTTGGTGTCTTCATCTGAAACTCTTAAGTTGATCTTTGTCTCCTTCTCTCTGCAGTGACTTGTCCATGCAGTGGGGTCAGCTGTCAAGACCTTACTCCTCCACTGACCAAAGCAGTTCCCTAGGTTCCATGGAGAGCCTGGACACACCGACACCTACCACGCAGCCGTACTCCGACTCCCAGAATTCACCTGTCGACCCCACCCTCTTTAACAACAAGAGAGACTCTGCCTACAGCTCCTTTTCTGCCAGCTCAAACACGTCTGACTACGCAACAGTGCCGCCACGGCCTGGCGAAACCTGCTCGATGGATAACCTCCTCCAGAGCCTTGGCCCAGCTTGTCAAGCCTACCCTGGTGGCGATACCTCATCTCTACGGAGTTCATCTGGCGAGGTCCGAGATGGGGCGCAGCTTATTGTACACAAATCCAGGTCGCTGACTAGGCCGAGACCGAAGCCTGTTGAGGTAAAAGAGAGGCCTTCTTCCTGCTGTTATGAGGAGGAGCGGAGGGGAGGAGACTTTGAGATTGTAAGAAATGGAGTAGGAGGAACACAGAGAAAGATGAACCCTCCTCAACCTCCAACCAGGAAGGATAGTTTTAGGGCAACCCGGAGTTGCCCCAGTACTGTCAACACGCGTTGCTCTTCTGCTCCTGTTGATATTTCCGGTGTTTCTTCTAACTGTGATGAAAATAAGCCCTCTCTAAATGTGGAATCAGGAATTCACAATGGCTTCTCTACACCAGAGAGAGCTGACACAACTGGGAATTTCAAAGAGGGTACCTTAGACTCACACTGTATCCAAAGACAGACTAAAGATACTGAAAGAAATATCAGATGTGACACTAGTGCTAATAAAGACTGCAATTCAGAACCCAATTCAGATCCCCTTTCTGACCAGGTGACAGCCTCTCTTGTCCCCATCACCTCTTCTCATCCTGACTTCCTGCCTGCAGAATTCTCCACAGAGGTTCAAGGGCTGCCTCATACACATTCCCAGACCCAGCACTCTTCTACAGGGCTGCACCGTCACAGCGCTCCAGAGAAGCTTCTTGCAGGACAATTTCAGTTACTGCAGTTTAACAGTGACAGCTCTTCATTGGAACCTTGCCATCTTTCAAACCCTCCTGATTCTTCCTTCTCCACTTGTAGCAACCAGCTGTCCCATTCATCACTGCAGCCTGCGAGGAAAGATCAAAATGATTCTCACAACCAAATGTATTCCCCATCAAACAAACTGGGAGGCAGCTTTTGCTCAACCTCAGGATCTGTGTTCCTGGAAGGGGATGGTGATGATGGAAATTCAAGTGAGAGACACGAAGGGGTGGGTGTAAATGGTCGGTCACTCTCTCCAATTCGGCATCACCGCCACTGGGGCCGCTCTGCGAGTGTACCAGAAGACCCCACTGGATCATCAACCCAGGTAAGGTTGAGCTCTAATCAGATACAGGACAGAGATTTTGAACCTCTTAGTGCTGCTTCCAGTATGGATACTTTGGTGGAGGAGCAGAGAGCAGCGGACAGAGATAAAAGTGGAGGGAAAATAGTGGAGGATGTAGAAGGAGATGCAGGCACGAAGAAGTCACCCTCATCCAGGAACCACAGACGGAACCGTCGTCGCAGCGAGCGATTTGCTACCAATCTTCGCAATGAGATCCAGAGGAAAAAGGCCCAGCTTCAGAGGAGTCACGGCCCCGGGGGGTTGCTGTGTAGTGGAGAAACTGTCCAGGAGGAGGAAGGTCCAGACTTCTGTGAGGAGGGGCCTAATTCCAACCTGCCGCTCCAGGAAAGGAGTACCAAAGTTGCATTTGCCTCACCTGTAAGTTCCCAAGATTTCCAGACCACAGCACCATTGGAGAAGTTAAACACCTCAAGTGAATCAAACCATGTTGGTTTGGACACTCAGCCTCAATCAACAGTGTACACTGAAAACACTAACCTGTCCAGGTCCATTCAGATTCTGGACCCAGGCATGCCCGCTTTTGGTGTCGGTATTCGAGTTGTGGAGGAACCAGCTCCTGCTGGAAAAGCCCGCCGCTGGCGCTGGACTCCTGAACATAAACTCCAACCAGAATCTGGAGCAGACCAACAGTTCAGAGTCTTGGGTGAGAAGGTGTTAGGCGTCACAGGGTCACGACATGGGGTTTGTGCCTTCACCTCTTCATCCACCTCTTCTTGCAGTTGCTCTTCTTCATTTTCTCGGACGGAGGAGTCTGATATTCTTCCATTTGCAGATAGGATGAAGTTTTTTGAGGAGACAAGCAAGGGCATGTCTGGGACAAATGTTTCAAGCCTGTCAAGCCGCAGGCAGAAGAAACACCCGAATCATTC